TTCTGAAGTAATTAGTATATTTTCTTCTTCTAAGTCCAAAAGTACTTCTTGTCCTTCATAATATTCATCTTGGTAGATTAGTTCTCTAATTTCCTCATTATTTTCATGATCTTTTATAACTAATATTCCATAATCTGCTAAGGTATCTTCTACCTTTTTCATTGCTCTATATGTGAAGTGTAGAACTTTCTTTAATTGTAGTTCATAGTGTTGTGTTGTTCCAAAATTTCCTAGATGATATGTTTTTTGATTCATTTTTTTTTATCAGAATTGCTGTGGGGTAGAGTGGAAATGTCCTCCTTTTATACTTTCTGCCCTTATTTTCAAATATAATTTATCATTTCCTTTTCTGTATTCTGTGTAATATTCCTTTTCTTTTGTATTGACTCCTTCTTGACTAGTTTCTCCAAAAAGTTTTTTAATTAATTCTGTTGAGGTTCTATGGTTTTTTCCAAGGTTTTCATATTTAACTCTTGGTATTTGTCTAAACATTATCTCATAATAGAAATTTCCTTTTCCCATTTTTGCTGGTAGTTGTTGCCTTGAATTTTTGTGGCTTCCTTAAATACTTTTATTTGAGATTTTTTAATTCTGTTTATAATTCTTTAATTACATTTCTAAATTGTATTTTTTCTTTCCTTTCTTCTGAATATAATGAAAGGGCTTTCAAAATTAATTCGTCCTTTGAAATCCCTCCTTCTTTATAGTTTAGTAATAAAATTAATTCCCATTTTGTTTCTTTTCTATACTCTTTATCTAATTTTGGATATAAACTTAACCATATGCTATCTTCTTTATTTATTTGTATTGATAACATTTTTCTTTCTTCTTTATTTAATTTAATATGTTGCCCTTGAAATTGGTATTCTTTGTTCTCATATTTTATTCCTAAATTTTTTTTTTTCATGTTTTAGAAGTCTTCTTTGTAGTTTGTTATTTTCTTCTGTTAATTTCTCATTTTCATTTTTTAGTATTGTTATTTCTTCTTCTAACTGTTCTTTAGTTATTTCTTCAATAGGTAATGCTTTTGCATATCTCCAAGGATTATCCATTTTTTAGACTGTAAATCTATTTTTTTCTTTTAAAAATCCTTCTCCCTTCTCAGATGCCAGGAAGTCATAGAAAAAAATGGAGAACGAATAAATTATTAAAATAGTTTATAGTAAAGAAAAAACATTAAATAATATAATTAGGAAATTTTAGAATAAAATAATTAAAATTCAAATTTATAATAATTTTTAAATAATTTTAAAATAATTTGAGGATCACTGTATATACTTTGTTTTAGCCAATCGTATTCGTGATTACTATCTTAACAATTACATCGTAACAATTACTATATATGCATGAATTATTTGTTTGAATGTTATTGCTTGAATAATACATGCTTTATTGTTAAAAAAATAATTGTTATAAATATATAATACTAGTAAAAAATTATATAGTATAAAAATAGAATTTTTATCGATAAAATGTGTAGCAATAACCAAAAAAGCTTTCATTGATACTGTAGTCCAAATATCAAGGGTAAATGAGATTCAATTTTCTGTTTCTTGTAATAATTTCTGTATTTTTTTTTGATCGCCAGATAGAATTTTATGGAGAAAGTAATTTTACATTTTCAGCAATTAATTTTTATTACTTTATATATATATTGGATAGTACTTGAACAACTAATTAAATTAGATCTATTAATAGATTTTACCTATATATATCTAAATTATACTAATATTTTAAACATATAATAGCATGAATTGTATTGACAGTTAACTGTATCCTATCTTGAGTAATTAAATTACTTGCACTTGAAAAAATTCTTTCAGCAAGAGCACTTGTTGCTGGAATTGCTAAATAATCTTATGCCATTGCTGCTAAATGTGGAAATTCTTCAGAATGTCACCAAATTAAAAATAATTATAAATAAATAGTTTTATAAATACAATTTAAAACTATTACTTGCTTTTGTATTTGTGCTTGTTTGTGATTAAAAAAAAAAAATAAATTTGTTACTTACTTTCTATCAATCTAAAATTTTAACAAGTGCTGGAGTATTTTTAACTTTTGATTACATTTCAAATTCATTTAATATCAAATTTAATTGTTTAGAAATATGTGAAACCAAATCTTTGTCATCTGTATTGTATTCAATTTCAATATTTTCATTTTCTTTTGGTGCATATTTTTCATAATAAATTTCTAATACCTATTAAATATAATTTAAGTAAATTAATTTTACAAATTGAAATCATTATTTTATATACCTCATTTTTAGCTTTTACTATCCATTTTTCTTTCTATTCATTTACTTCCATATATTGCAATTTAAGTCATGGATCCAATACTTATAAATTGAAATAAATATAATTAAATTATTTTAAAAAATATTTTTAAATTATATAACAATTTACCTGTTGCAACTGTATATACTGTTGCATCTGTTTTGCTGTAATATTCTTTCAATTTCTCGATTCCTTTTCTTACTGCTTGCTATAAATATTTAAAAATCGTAAATATAAATATTAAATATAAATTAAGTTTTAAAATAAAATCATACTTTATGACCTATGGATCCATAGCACAGTGGTAGTGTTCCATAGGTTACCAGGAAAAGGTCTAGGGTTTAACCCCGCCTGGTTACAAAAAAATTTTTCACCTTCATGATTGGTTGACCGGCTTCCAATTCATGTCGTATCCAATCAGCCGACAAATTCACTTCCAAATTTAGTTAGGCTGCATGAAAATGGGACCTCTGGTCTTCCCAACGATCGCAGGCTGAAAACAGGTTGAAGCAAGGAAGGTTGCATGAGGAAAGGCTTCTGGTCTAACTCCGGTAATAAGCCCACAAAACTCTAATCCAAACTGGCGACGGCAGACTCCATCACACAACATAAAGAGGTTAATTCTAAGCTGATCCATCTCAATTTGGAGCTTGTAGATCTATCCCAATGGTGGTGTTCCACGAAACTTAATCATATGGCCGAAAGACAAGGTATTAGCCACAGGTGGTGAGAAGACTAGACAAAAATCATTAAGCCAAGTGAGTCTAATGAGGATTTACAAGATTAAATCGGAATCCAAGCAAGGACGCCAGTTCCACAGGTGGTGAAAATGGTAGTACTGCATTATGCTAGTGGTACATCTTGAGAATCAGTGATAACAGCGAATGGAATACTGGAATCAATCTCTATAATAATATTCCACAATGTGCCCCACTCACGATGGATGCAGTTGAGACTGGACCTGGTAGGAAGGTGGTTTAAACTAGTGGTAGGATTTCCACCCCCTATGTAAGTCCCATCTGGTGTGTAGATCATCTACTTGATATTTAAAAATTCATATAGCTGGGTATGTCACAATTGGTCTAAGGAAAACCAGAGTTACTGGAAACGGTAATTATTAGGTAGTATTAATTTGCATTTAGAATAGCAATAGCCTACTTTGTAAAGATACTTGATGTACTGACTAAAACAAATATTTAAAAAATGTCGCGCATCTAATGCCCTTAGCCAATTTAAAAAAAAAAAAAAAAACTAGTTTAATGTATAACAAGAAGAATTAATAAAGTTAAAAGAAAATAAGTTAATTATTCTTTTATATAAAAATATTACAATTATTTTATATAAGTTGATTTTTAAGTTATATAGAGAATATATATATATATTTTTATTTTATTTTTTTTTTTTGTAAATAAATATCATTTCTTTATTTGGTTTGTATATAGCAAGGTATATATTGTGAAAGAAACAATATTTTTTATATATTAATACAATAAGTTAAATACTAGTTTACCTACAATAACTATATAACTAATATTAAAAAGAAGGTTTAAACAATATACCTTGCTGTATAATATCAAGCAGCTATGAATATCTACTTAATATTAGAAGAAATAAAGTTAAAATTGATGAATAAAATTCTTAGACTATAAATATATTTTGAATAATTATATTTAGATTGAATAAATGAATTAGTAACAATAGAGAATAAATCAATAATAGTATTTTCTTATAAGTTATTGTTAGATTTGTCTTTGGTTTGCAAGATAGTTTGGTTTTTGAATTAATAAAATTGGTTGAATTATAAAATTTAACTTGATTTTATTTAATTTCAGTAAAAGATAAGGTGTTGATTGTGAAGCAGTATAGTTTTCAAATTAGATCATATAATAAAATTAAGGATTTTATTATTGTTTCATCAGGCTCTCCATTGTTGTTAAAAGATTCTGGAGCGAAAATTAGTATATTTAACTTCAGATATCTTTGATTTAATTTAATAATAATAAACCATATTTATATTTATATATTATCATTTAATAATATTCAATTTAAAATATTTATTGACTTATAAAATTATTTTTATTATTATATAATTCTTAATTATATTTATTTATTTGTTTAAATCTTCACTTATTGCCAAAGTCCTTCTTTTCAATTCTTTATTTAACATTATAAGTTATATAAGATTTTAATAAGTTTTATTATATACTTAAATAGTTTTTAGGAGCTTAAATAAATAAATCAATTGATTGTATCTTGTATTAAACTTTTCTTAACAAGAGAAATATATATTAATTTAGTGATTATAATATTACTTGTATTAATAACCAATTATAATAAACATAAGACTAATAATTGTCTTAGTTTCTAAATATATAAGTATATATATTTGATTTTTTAAAAATTGATTTAAATTATTATTTTAATTTTTGTAATTAAATATATGAAAATAATTTTATATTAGTGAAAAAAATATTATCATTAAATTTAATTAAAGATTAATTAATATAATAACATATTATATTTATAAAATTTCAATTAAATTTTTATTAAAAAATGATTAATCAATAAATGCCCTTAGACATATTGGAAATTTCATGAAAAATGTGTTGATTAAATCTATCTGTTTGGACATTGGAAATTCAAATATAAAAATTTTGAAAATTTGAAATATTTTCCAATAATCATGGGATCTTATTATTGAAACTTCTACAAAAATATTAGTTAGACCCAATCAAAACTTCTTTCAACTGCCTTTTTCCAAGAATTATATCGTTCCTCAGAAGTTTCTTGAGTTATTTGGGGTGAAAACACCGCCCAACCTTCATTATTAACTTGATTCAATTCATCTAGTGATTTCCATACACCAACAGCATATCCAGCGGCTATTGCAGCACCCAGAGCAGTCGTCTCTCGCATCTCTGGGCGATCAACATCAATACCGAGAATATCTGCTTGAATTTGCATGCACAGATCCGAATTCGTCATACCACCATCTACCTTTAAAGACTTCAAAGGATGGCCGGAGTCTGAATTCATAGCATCCAATATCGCTTTTGTCTGATAACAAGCAGCCTCAAGGGTGGCACGAGCGATGTGATACCTGTTGGTGTATTGAGTGATTCCAACTATGCAACCCCGAGCATCATCACGCCAATAAGGAGCAAAAAGTCCTGAAAACGCAGTGACAAAATATACACCACCCGTATCTTCAACTTTGGAAGCCAGTTCATTAATCTCATGGGTTTCCCCGATAATTCCTAAATTATCACGAATCCACTTGACGGCTGAACCAGCTACGGCAATCGAACCTTCAAGAGCATAAGCTGTTGGTTCTTTACCAAACTTGTAACCAACAGTCGTGAGAAGACCGGTTTTGGAAATCACAGGAGCTGTTCCAGTATTAAACAACATAAAACAACCGGTGCCATAAGTATTTTTTGCATCACCACGGTGGAAGCACTTTTGTCCAACCAGTGCGGCCTGTTGATCACCTAAGTCACCGGCTATAGGAACGTCTTTTATAGATTCCACAGTTTTTACGTGACCATAAACCTCAGATGATGAACATATCCGAGGAAGGCAATCACTTCTAATTCCGAAAAATTCTAGAGCTTGTTTGCTCCACTCTAATGTTTTTATGTCCATAAACATAGTGCGGGATGCATTAGTAACATCAGTGATATGTAGCCCACCAGCACACTTTCCCGTTAAGTTCTATACATGTATGAATAATGATACTTATAAGTACGCATTAAACTATCAATGCTTATAATATCTGAATAATACATACCCAAATTAGCCAAGTATCAACATTTCCAAACATTAAAGTTCCATTATCATGAGCATATTCAACCTCCGGAACATTATCAATTAACCACCTTAACTTTACTGCAGAGAAGTAAGTGGTAATCGGTAAACCGCAAACTTCCTTTAGAACATCTTTTCCCAAGGAGGACTTCCCATTTAATTTATGAACTAATTCATGAGTGCGAATATCACACCACACAATTGCGTTATAAAGGGGTTTCCCAGTCACTTTATCCCACACTAAGGTTGTTTCACGTTGATTTGTAATTCCGATAGCTTTGATGTCATGGACGGAATGACCTTTCTCTTTGAATTTTTTTATGGCTTCTTCAATACATTTCTCCACTGAGCCTAGGATATCTGTTGGATCATGCTCAATCCAACTTTAACAACAAAAAAAAAGTTTAATAAAATCTGTTTATAAAGTGTCAATTTGCATATTGAACTTACCCAGGATTAGGGTAATACTGACTGAACTCAATTTGATGATAAGTCACTACAACTCCATTTTGATCAAAAATCAAAAAACGAGAAGATGTTGTACCTTGGTCAATTGAACCTACAAACGACGGCATTTCAAAACGAATCGTAAAAGACAAGTCATGAGTAAAATTTTCCGCTATTATAATAGTTTCAACAGATTTGATCGCCAATACCTTTTTTATTTCAAGTTGTATCTAATTACCATTTTTATCAAAATCAAATGGATGTACGACGTGATCGAATATTGATCATATGCAAGTTTAAAAGTTCTAAAATAATATCACCTATTAATTGAGATGAAAAAGGGTATTGATGGACGAAAATAATTTCATTGTATCGCGTGCCGTGTGATTCCCAAATCAGTGAAATTATAAATGAGGTGTTTAAACATTTTTTACAATGATGTATGAGTAATTTATATCTAATTGCATTCCCAGGGCACGGGTCGAACTCTCAAGATGATTCTTGGTATACAGTGAATCATATTATTGTAGGTCAATATAAAATTATCAAATAAATGCAAAAGTATGTTTCTAAATATAGACAAAAATATAATTATAAAAATCATTAAGTTTTCTAAAACAAATATATATAGAGATAGACAAAAAAATGCTACATTTTTAGCTATAACAAATAAAATTTTATTTTTAGATTAATCACATTGATGTAATCTATTATTATAATATTTAGTAAAATATTATCCCTCAAATTATTTTGCAGATAAATTTGCTTGCAAAATTAAATAATATTAATATTTTTTAAATAAAACAATAATTTATTAATAATCTATCTTATAGACAATAAAAATTTTTATTATAAAAATTTTTTTAAGCTTTTTTATAATTTTATATATTTTTAAAAATAAAAATTATTTTTTTAAAATCAATATTTAAAAAACTTATCAAGGATAAAATTCCTTATTATTTTTTCAAATATGCAAACTTTTTTTATATATCTTAATTTGATCTTGATTTTTTAATTATATTGGAATTCTTAAATAATAATTAATTTGAAATTTGAATTGATTAATATACAGTGCCCCCCAATAAATGAAGGACCACTTAAGAATTATTAAAATTAATCGGAAATAGTCTCTATATAT